GCGCACGCTAACGGTGACGAGTGACCTCGTTTGGGATGTGGAGGTGGTCGACTACGAGTCTGACACTCCTATTCCCGGATGGAATGATGAGGAGGGCGAGCCGCATTAGCGGCGTGAGACATGCCCTGCTCGTGCCTCGTGGGCCCATGTCCGTTTCCTGACTTCTCGTCACCTGAGAAACGTGGTGTAATCACCAATGACCTCGATGAGGCACAGAAGCAGCGGCTGGAAGCTGTCCGTAAGGCGGCTCTGATGCGCGCCCATCCACGGTCGGTCATTGACCCTCGGGTGGAATATGGCTTCCGCCCAGCGGATCCCGCTGTGGAAGCGAAGGACGCGGTAACTCGATCGTTACGCGTCCACATCATCGGACTCCCGGTCATCGGGGAAGATGAGCTTACTGAACGGAAAGCTCTTCGAGCTCGATTCTTGGTTCCACAAGCATTTGCGTTGGAAGCTTATTGCACTCGTCTGTGTGCTCAGCGAGGTGGCTCTCGTGTACCCGCAATGCGGACGATACCTGTAGTGCTCGCCCCTGGCGAAAGCACTACAGATGACAAAGTTCTCTTTGAGCGATGGCCGAAAACTTTCCTCACTGTATGCCTTACAGTTAAGCCACAAGGAAGTGGACGTGCGTGTCGAGCGACACCGCCGATTTTGAGTTTGCCAAACTCAAAGCATGCCGTCGACTCCCATCAGATTGTCGCCCTGCGACGTATGGGTCAACCAACCCCTTACGCTCCCGCGAGTTTTGTGTCTGCGACCGCAAGAGCTCGGGATCCACCGCTTGAGCTCAGCTCATGGCCTTTCTACTTCCTGGCGTCTGGGAAATCTTGCCAAAGTGGCGTCACATACTCCCACGTGTTTTCGGAGTTGGGATATCCCCGCCACTTGGGTAAAGGTAAGCTGGCCAGCGGCGCAGCCGCATTTGGAGAGGGTTTCACCCGTTGACACGTCTCACACGTGCGCACATAGGTGCTCGTCCATTTGTACGACTTGGGCCACCAATAGTGGTGACTCACAGAGTTGTACGTTTTCTTACGACCGAGATGATCACTGAGTGGCGTGTCGTGAGCCTCAAAGAGGATGCGATATTTCAAATTCTCATCATGAGGAACAACCATTCGTGGTGTATCCGTTGAATTGGTGCTATAATAAAGCTAGCCGTTATTCTACGAATATCGGTGCAATCGTGTACGCAGTCTTGGTGACAATTTCTTATCCGAGTCTCTAAACCCCTTGCTCTCGAGAGCCCGTAGCAGTGCTACACATATCCATCACCCGCATACGCGGTGTGGATCATATCTGTCATATCTGTCACAGATGACGTTACAGTTGTAACGTGAGCAAGCTCATAGTCTGGTCTGCGTGACAACGCGTCACCCAAAGCATTCTGCTTTTCCGGTTAATACTTCACGTCGAAGTTATATTCTGCAGAGAAGGATAGCCATCTAGCAATCGTCTGCGAGGGGTGGGGCGACTAAGTCGCAGAGTGTAATGCGGCACGATCTGTGTAGATCACAAACGGCTTAGAGCCGAGCAGGTGGACCCTGAACTTGACAGGTGCCTACTTCATCGCAAGTAGCCCCTTGTCATGAACTGGGTAGTTCTTCTCGCAGCTCTGAGCTGCCGAGATTTGAACGCGATCACCCGATCTCACCCCTCGGCGTCTGCTC